TATATATATATATATATATTATTTTTATGTTTTTATAGACCTAATACTTAAATATTAATAATTATTTGAACAATATTTTATCTTTTAATGCCAAATTAAAAATAGTATTGATATTGATTTTTTAAAATAAAATAGGTATTTTCATGCATATTTTTTATTGTAATTATGACGCTTAATTTGACCAGTCAAAATCATTAAATCCTCATATGCGAATAATATAGGGAAAATTACATACATAGCCCTCAATTCTTATAGATTTGCCAATCTCACACCTAGAATTTCATATTTATGCACATAACGCTTTACCTATGGATGAAAAGAAAGATTAGACTATTAAAAGGTAATAATAAGTGTTAAAAACAAATGAGACAAAGATCGGACTTGCTCGTTTATGAGATAGTTTTGAATAATTTGGTTAACAAATATTCTGAGCTGTAAAAGGCTATTAGTAGGGCTGTAAACGAGCCGAGCCTGAGCTCAGAGTCGGCTTGCGTTCGACTCATGTTTGAAATCGACTCATGTTTGAAATGGTTCGTGAAGAATGTGTTCGTGTTCGGCTCGAATAATATTTTCCGGCTTGAGTTTGGAGGAATCAGAAGAGGAAAATGTCTCAGAAGAGGAAGAGGAAGAGCACAACCTAAGCTCTCGCCGTCGAAACCCTTTCTCGCTGCTGAAACCCTTTCACGATTTTGAGTGGAGAAGGAGATGACTCGTAAGAGGAGGAGAGCAGCAAACACAAATGACAAACCCTAAGCTCTCGTGGCCGAACACTTTTAGCGATTTTGAGAGGAACGAGAAGAGTCGGAACTCGAAAGAGGGAGAGGCTTATATATTATATTATATTAATTATATAACTTATATTATATAAATATATAATATTTATATAAGTAATATTTATTAATATTTTCTTATATGTTATAGTTTATAGGATATAATTTTTTAAAATTTGATTTTTTTTTATTTTAAAAAGTTTTAATTAATTACAATTTATAAAATTTAATTTTAAGAATATGTATTATATATGTGTGTGTGTGTTTATTTATTTATTTCTTTTCGAGACAATTCGAGCCGAACACCAGCGAACAAATGTTTGTTCGTGTTCGGCTCGTTAAGCTTAACGAACGAGCTGAACACGAGCTGAACATGAGTTGTCCTCAAATAAAGAGCCAAATTGACAGCCCTAGCTATGAGAATACTAAATAATTGCAAAAAAATATTTCAATATGAGTATATAAAAATTTTAAAAAAAAGTTTTACATGCATAACCCTTAATTGCTATATATTTACATATCTTGTCACATTATTTATTCATGAAAAGATGTATTATTTCAGTTTTTAAATGTAAAAATAGTGATATTTTTTTGTGACATGAAAGATTTGGGTGATATAAATATATATAAAAAAAATAGTTTAGATATTATATATGTAAATACATAAGAAATGGAGGGTATGTATGTAAAATGCTTTTTAAAAACCATATTAAGTCATTTTTTTATGACTAAAGGGCCTTTGGATGGTTTCAAATATATACAAATTGATGAGTCACTTATTGGCCCAAGATGATCTCAAATAACTCATTTTTGTGTTGTTTATATTAATGTAAGAAGCAAGAAACTTATTAACTTAAAAATTAAGTGCAAGTATCAATATCTCTTTCATTACTTCATTGTATCTTTTGAAATTTTCTAAATTTGTGTGAACATTAGAGAATAAATGAATATATTTGTATAATAATCTTATTACAATTCAAATTGGTCGAGTCTTAGCTATCGAACAATGACGTGATTGACTATTTAGAGGCATTGCTATATCCCTTGGACTAAGTGGTGAGGGTTATCAATAATCCCTTGGGTTTGTGATGTATGATATATGGAACCACAAAGATAAAAGGAGTCTATAACAAAGTGTCTATTTGATATAGTTTTCTAATCAAATCTTTCTCTAAAACTAAGTGCTTCATAATTGAAAAGATTGCTTTTTTATTTCGAGGCCGCGTAGCTGTCCAAGATTTATATTAAGTCAAGTTGAGAGGAGCTAGTTATAAGTGTTATTGTTGGGCGTAAGAGTCACTAACCATGATTTTCTCGCCAGTTTATCAAAAATGTTAAATGTATGAATAACGTAACAACAAATTATTATAAGAATCATCAAATAATAATGAAGGCATATAACAAATATCAATTGCAACTTACTATGAAATAAAAAAAATTAAGACATAGAAATATGAATAGGAAAGAAATAGTGAAACGAGGTAACTTCCTTTCCTTGAGTGATGCTCAACGCTCTTTAAGAGTATACATATATATAGAATACAAAATTTAGTAAGATAATCTGACAATCTTTAACCACTCACCCAACCCAAGTTACATATTTTAATTATTCATACTATTATTCACTACTAACCCATAATTATTCATTATATATTACCAACTCTAAAATTTATCTTCCCTCAAGGTCAAAGTGCAGAGCAAGATAAGCTAAATATAAGTAAGAAATGCTTAAAATATATTTGTGCCATGAAATATAAGCAAGATCATTGGCAATAATATGGGTGGTGAATGACTGTTTAACCATAATTCATCCAAAGTATCCCCTAGTGATTGGTTGGGACAGGATCCCTTACTTTTTGGTTGAACCAATTGATAAATAGGAGCAACTATTTGTGTTTTGTAGATGGCCCGAATGCATCATAATGTTCCTCTTGTTCATCTTTATGTCAGATGGGATCAATGTTATAATTGAACCATGGCCATAAGTTTTGTCAGCCATAATGATTAATGTTATAATTGATTGATGGTTATGAATACATATTGGTATTTGATTTGGCAATATTATTATGATAGTTGGGATCAAAATTGTACCATGGCCGGTGGGGTAAGATAATAATGTTTGACACTTAAGAACGAGGAATCTTATTGAATGACAATAAAGAATCTCAGTGAGTTATCGTGGATGGAGATGAAATCATATCTAGATGGTGTGACACCAAAGAGCTTAGTGTGATGACAGTGCTATTTTTAATGACACGATATGATTGTGATTGCATTTGGAATTTGAATCTTCAAAAAATAATTGCATTGGGAGGACGTAGTAGTCTTGATAAAGCTGAAGCAACATAATTATATTTTGTGGATATGCGATCGTGAGGGGGTGTCGTTGAGCTCATTGATAATTTACAAAGAAGATTTTGCTGTTGATGATAATGACAGTGATCAAAATGCAGGGAATGCAGTTTTTGAGATTGGAGTCCGCATAATGACAAATATGAGCAACCAGATTAGAACCTTTGTGGGCGAAATTACAATATATATATATATTTATTAATTAATGCTTAATACTATGTAATGAACAATATATATAGCCTTATAAAACTTAAATTACCTATTAATTACTGCCAACCCAAACTACATCTAATGATTATTTACACTATCATTCACTAATAACTACTAACACAAAACTGCCCATTAGGAAGGCATCAAGGCCGTTGGATGGGCTAATCCGACGGCCATCATTGAATCGCCACGTCACTAATGCTTTGCTTGCCCAAAGCGTGTTTGATGAAAATTTTAAGCTTCTCCTACCCGTCTGATCTCCATCGTGAGGTCAAAATAGGTTCCGATTAGCGAAAGCTTCCTGACCCTTCTGGAACTCCTTGAACATTTACAAAATTACAAAAGGAACCTCCGGCTGCGACGCTTTAGGGTTCGTAATTCTTCTTCGAAACAGTGAGCGAATTCTCTGCAATCTCGATCTCTGGACTCGTAATGTCTTCACCTGGAGAGTGAGTCCTTCATCTCTTTTCATGCTCTTATGAGGAATCTTGCGCGTTTGCAATTTTTTTCCTTACTTTATTGCTTCAAGTTTTAATTGAATATGAAAATGCTAGCACTGTGAATTTGTGAAATATTTTGAATAAAGGACTTTGATTGTTCTAATTGAATGATTTGTGGGGTTTTCTCTTGGCTTATTGCTGAGGGAAACAAGGTTTTGGTTGGAGTTTTGTTAGTGTTTTTGTAGAAACTTGAAGTGATCGAGTTTCAGAAAAAGGAATGGAACAAAGTTCATGCGACGTCTGATGTGTCTAATCTTCAGGTTTTTGTTTTTAGTATCTGCCAAGGTGAAATCTTGCAGTAGCGAAAAGATGTAATTGGCAAGTTACTGTAAATTTTTAAAGATCATAATGGCTTTTTGGTGATGAAAGATAAAAACTCCTTGGAAAAATTCTAAATGGATGTTAGCTTCATGTTTCTACTTTTATATGAATTTTTGTCCTGTTTTGTGGAAGGGTTTCTTGATGGCTTTATTTGTTGAATGCTCAGATATGTATTTTTATTTTTATTATTGATCAAATGTTTTTCTTAATAAGTGTTTTCAATTAGGGTGCGGACTACTGTGGCATTTGATGGTTCATCAAGTTTGTTCTGATATTTTACTTAAATGTGGTTGTTCTCATTGAAGTTTTAGGCAGTAGATCACAGAAAGATCAAAGTGGTTGCTCTCATTGAAGTTTTAATTGTTGGATTTCTCCTGAGAAATTGTTGTCAGAGGTATTTTCATATCGAAGATTTTTGATTGAAAATGATATTGCTAGGGGTTCACATGCATGATCAGATCATCAATTGGACTTCCTATAAGGGAGATCAAGACTTTAGTGACTAAATCATTTAGGTCCAATTTCATATTATAGTAGGATAATATTGAATTTAAAATTTTAAGTTTGTATTTGAATTTATGCTCAGTTTAGGATAATTCATGCAAATGTGAAATTTGGTTAGGAATTGGATCATATTAATCCCCACTAAAAATTTGAAAAGAAATCTATTGGAATCATTTCCAAGTTTTTTCATCCATATTCTTCTCCATCCCCCTCAAATGCCTTTTGTTCTTATTTTTGTAGCTGATTGGTGAGGATGTAGCCCCCACCCCCTCCCCTCCCCTTTACTGTTGCCATTACTCTTTTGCTATTTTGCTGCAACTGGGAATTCTAGAGTGCTGCTTGTAGCAATCTAGAAGAGAAAGCAGTAACTTTTTAGCTATCCCTGAGGAAAGTAGTGCTAAAAGAAGGAAACTAAGTGTTTTTTAGTAGAAGAAAATGTGTGTAGTAGTAATAAAATGTCATCTACTATGTGAGATAGAGCTTGTGGTACAATTAATTGCTGGATAGATCAATAGGGAACCTCCAAACATATTCTGCTATCTTTTCAAATCTATTCTAGATTTTATCTGTAGAACTGCTTCATAATGTCAAGAGATTTACTTCATATCAAATTAGTATTAGAATGCCATTCCTTGGTGCTTGGCACAAACAATGAAGGGATATAAAGACAAGGGAAGCTTCTTTTGCTATAGAGATGACGAGGATGAGGAAATGACTACCACTCATGAAGGTAGTTGATACTAGAGTTAACCCAAACAATAATATAAAAACAAGTATTATTACTGAAAGCAAATATGCGATTACAACCATACACACTTGAAAATAAAATACAACAACAAATACATGCAAACACAACTAAATGTATTCAAAGGTGGAGGTTGCTTTGGTGAGTGGATGGTGACCAGGCGGTGAATTGTTGTAGGGGGTGGAAGGGGAGGTTGCAATAGGGAAAGTTGGTGGTTGGCTGTTTGAAAGACACCAAACAGGGACTAGGGTTGGAACAACATCATATGGCAGGAATGGCTGTTCGGGGTGGCGGCAGTGGTGGGGAATGCGTAGGATTGCAAGACAACAAAGGGAGGGTTGCCTCGGGGTTGCGACGGCGCAAGGGGGGGTGGGGGGTGAGGTTGGACAACGAAGACCAGTGGCTGGAATGAGTGGTAGCAAGGTGGGAGGTAGTTGAAAGGGTTGTTAGCTTGTGGAGGAGGTAAGGGCTTGCGACTGGAGTTTCAGGAAGACTACAAGAGTGTTGTCTAGTGGTTTTGACAGCTAGGAAAGGCAGTAATGAGGGGTTGGTTGTGGGGGATGGGAAGTCGTTGATAAATAATACCTCGCGAACGAGCTACAACTGGAGCAACACTCGACTCTTGGAAAAAGATCATCACCTCAGAAGAGTTGCGGTCGGAGCACCACCCACCTTTGGATGCAACCCTAGAAGGGAGAAATTAGAACTCTAACGGTTGTCCTGAACAAAAATGTGACAATACTGAAACCTAAGCGTATACTATTATTAATGGGTCCTAATTCATTGGGAGGTTTCTGTATTTGGTCAAGTTCGTAAGATTGATCGCGGGACTGTAGCATAAGTCGTGGCCTTTTGGCATGGATGGTGAAATGGTTCCATGCCGGAAGCTCCCATGTCAGTGGATGGGTTCATTCAAATTAGAAGCCAAAATGGAGATTAATATGCATGACAGAACAAGTGATGTTAGGAAGCTGCATACATGAATCAATTAGTTGGAAAGTTCACATTTTCACGTGTAATACCTAGAAAAGTTTGCATTGGCCTTATAGAAGCTGAAGCCATGATGCACTGTCATGATGAGAATTTCCTTCTAAAGATTGATGCCCATTAAGAGGATGACCAGGGGGGTTTAAACATCCAATACACTTAGTTTTACCGCATGTGGTCCGCAACAGATTGATGGAAGATGTGGCATAGTTTGAAGTAATTTTGAGGGCAATTTGTGTAGGATTATATCTGAGACTTTCAACATTAGACGACTAATTTGGGAGTAGCGTTGCAAACAAACCAAGTCAAGTTGAGCAGGAGCTGGCTTGAGCTCAAGATTGTTTTCCGAAATCAAGCTCGTGATTGAGTTTGATTTGAGTATTTGTAGCAATGTTCAAGCTCAAATTATATAAACTTATGGTTAGAACTTTCTTTGAGCTTGACTTGCTAGCTGATCAAATGAGCGTTATCGAGCCTATTGATGACAACACTATCAAATAGCTTGTTAGTTATTTGAATATGCTTTTTCCAAGTTTATTGACAAGTAACCAATTGAGTGTAAAATGAGACTAATTGAATGAACTGCCACATAAACAAGCATTTTAATGAGCATAATCAATAGACTTGTTTATAAACAAAAGCAATCTAATATAAGAAGAAGGCAAAACTCCCTCATAATTAAATTAAATAAATTTGTAATTGAGCTTTAAATGGGCAATTTTAATATGGCTTCTTAATGAACTTGTTTATGAGAATAATATTCTTCATGATCATGGATGATTCAAACAAAAAATTGTTCAAACTTGTTCATTTATTATTCAAGTATTTATAAAAGAATTCAATATGTTTGATTAAGTGGTCATTGATAAGCTCTAATGAGTCGAGCCACAAGTTGCTTGTAGATTGTATTGGTTCATTTCTAGTCCTATTGAGGAGTTAATCCTGTGCATGTGCATATTTTGATGATATATGTCTCAAGGATTTATTTGTAAGTTACAAATGAACTTCGTTTAGGCCATTATGATGTCCATGTTCATAGGGCACAAGTTTTAAGAAAGTAAAGAGAGCGCTCGAACCATTTAAGAGGAACTTTTAACTTATTAAATAATAGGAGGAAGGGCGAGAAAAAATAAGGGTGATTCACAAAACTAACTTTGAATTGGAAGGAACTTTTTTTATCATAAACAATTTATTTAGCCATACTAGAGAAAGATGATAGAAATTATGCTCTTAAATCTTGAAAATTCGAAGGTTGAGAAAGGAAAGGTGACTAGTATTGCCATAAGCGACAACATGCTTACTCCTATTAAGCAAGCAAACTTGTAGTTTTCTTTGAAGGTTGTGCTAAAAGATATAGTGACAAGGTAAGCCTCTAATATGGATAAGGTTGAAATTGGCCTGAGTCGAGCTTAGCATGTTCTGGATTGAGCTTTGGCTTTGGTTATATTAAAAGTTGTTCATGTTCGGCTCGAGCTTAAGTTGAGCTTTCAAATATATGATTATACTTGGATTGATTAAAGTTTTAAAAGTTGTACTTGGCTTCTACTCAAATTGTTTATATTAACTAATATTTTTATGATTTAGTAAATAAACTGTTGTTTGAATGTGTGTTTGAATTTGCATGTAAAATTATTAACAATTGATTTTACAAATATAAACAAATAAGCAATTGAATAAAATTTCAATTAGTATTGAACTGGTTTACACCCCAACAACGACGACACAACAACAACAACAATAAGCCTTTGTCCCACTAATGTTAAGTAGGGCTGAGTGCATGAATCCTTTTTCTGGATTATGTCATGTTGAGTCTCATATTTTCATTTAGTGCTAATATATTAGGATCATTTTTTATATAGTATGTCCCGTCTTTTTAGGTCTTACCTCTACTTTTCTTCACACAAGTTAAATCTAAAACATTCACTTTTCTAATTGGATCATCATATGATTGACATTTAATGTGACTAAACCATTTAAATGACTCTCTCTAATCTTATATGTCATTGGAGCTACACCAATTCTTTTAAGGATATATTTGTTTCACATTTTCTGTGTGTCAAGCCACTCATCTGTCTAAGCATTCTCATCTCAACAACACTTAATTTTATGCTTCTTTTTTAAAGAACAATATTATGCGCCGTAAAGCATTGCAGATCTCGCCTCTATCTTATAAAATTTTTCTTTAAGTCTAAGTGTACTTTTCTATCACACAATAGGCTCAATGCATTCCTCCACCTCAACTAAACTACCTAAATTCTAGTAATAACATCCCGATCTCTATCACCATCACTTTGAACAATATACTCGAGATATCTAAAACATTCACACATTTTAATGGTTTGATCAACCAGAGTTACAGCTCTGCTACTAGATCTTCTATCACTAAAATTACATTCAATGTATTCAAATTTAGATCTACTCAAACGAAGGTTGATATTATATTGCCTGTAAACTTTCTCGTAATCAAATAATACAAATAAATACTAACAAGCTATTTCAATAAAATAAAGAAATAAAAAAGAGTTGTATTTGATGTGACCTCAACTAATTTTTATCATCAAGCACAAGTCTCAAAGCATTTTTGAGCAATAAACATTTTGAATTTAAATTTAAGATTATTTGGTCCTTCACTTCAAAAAGTTTATATTAAAAAATTGAGTGTCTCGACAAGACAAACCCAATGACACAGAGAGGGATCCCGAGTTCAAATCAGCCTATATCAAACACTTAAAGTGTAATTAAAGGCTTTAGTGCATCAATTGGAAGACCAAACAATCATAAAATTTAGCATATTTATATTCAAATTGAGCATCTCGAAAATCATTAAATTCTAATGTCATTAAGACATTTAATTGTTGAAAAATTTTCTATGATTAAGGAAATCAACGTGAACTTTAGTAATATTGCTACATGGAGCCGATAAAAAATTGACTTTTAAAATTAGACAAAGGTTGTATTGGTGGTTGGTTATGCCATTTAAACTTTGCAACGCCTAAGCTAAATTCATTAGGCTAATGAATGATTTGGGGCCTTATATGTATGCCTTTGCTATTGCCTATCCAGATGAGATCTTCGGCTAATTCTAAAGTAGAACATTGGAGGAGCGCTAGGTGCATTTGAGGCATACATTCCATCTTTTATTATGTTGTATAGCATATGGAAATCTCTACTGTTTTTTCATTTCATCTGTCCTGTTATCATTTTGGATGGTTCACATCCTTAAAGTAAATTTAAAAAAACAAAAAAGCAGTCAATATACTGTCTAAATTTGATCAAGGGTGATTGTATGAATGGCTATGTATATATTTTTGATTGATGAATAAATAAACTTGTCACTTTTATATCAGAACGTTAGCTATCTTAAGGATGGCCGTTAATTTTGTATGCTAGATTTATGGAGTTCTGTACTGTTTGATATATGGTTTCAGATTTTTATTTTTAAGGGAAATTTACATATGTAGCGCACAATTCTTATGTATTTACGTATCTCACACCTAAACTTTCACATGTGCATACAAAACACTGGTGCTTTAAACCTATGTATCAAAAAGCTGTATTTCACTTTTAAAAAGCGATAGTAGTGCTATTGTTGATGTGATATTAAAAATTTGAGTGCTGTGTGTGTAAATGTGATAGTTTTTGTGTGAAATTTGTAAATACCTAAGAACCATATGCTTTGTATGTAAATGCCCCTTTTTAATTTGGATGACCTGTCTCACTTTCTTGAATTGTTTGTTTCCTGAAAAATGCTTCAAATGTTACAAGCAGTAAGTCCAAACATACATGCAGAGTTCTCATGGCTGAAGTTGCATGCCTTTCTAATGGATTGCTTGAAACAGATGTTTTTTCTTTAATAGATATTTATCATGCAATGATTAATGAATAAATTAAAATTGAAATATTTTATTTAAGCTACAATTTATGTTCTAGTAATTTTGGGTAATATATTTTTGTTCCATCAGATACTACAATTCACTTCCCCCTGTGACCAAGGCATATGGGACCCTGTGTTTGCTGACTACTGCAGCATTCCACCTGGGGCTGTTGAATCCTTATTATATCGCGTTACATTTTCCTCTTGTATTTTCACATTTCCAGGTAAAACCATTTTGCACTTTTTGTGCAAGTATCTATGCATGTAATTCCATACTTATTTTTAAATTTCTCTCATTCCTTTCAGCCTTCATGGTATCGCGCCATTTGATTGCTACTATATGTAAATAGAGTTTCTAGAAATGCTACACTTGGCTGTGTTTTTACTGCTCTAATCAGTCCAAGATGCTTGTTATAATTTATAATGAATATTGTTATGCTATTTGCTGTTAAATTTAGAGTACTCTTAGGCAACATAGACATATCCAATTGGTCAATGGCTCACTTCGATAAAACTGCTTGAAAAGTTCGAAATTTATCCAACTGCAGTTGGGGTGGTCTATTTATGTGCAATTATCTGCCTCAATACGAAAATTACTTTATATTTTTAACTTAAAAGCTATATAGGTATTTTGTTGATGTATTAAACATGCTCATCTTCCAGTGATATGGATCTATCTTGGGTCAGAGTTGCAAATCTCATCCGATTTTCAGAGACCACCACCCTGCATCATTCTAAGGATCATACAAGGCTGTGATGGCCAGCGTAAAATATCTCATAGATTCCTCCGAAGCCTATAACCTTGCACTGCTGGTGTTGATTAATCCTGCTACCCATATATTATTAGGAGAAGCGCTTCCTTACACATCACAACCATTAAACTCAACGGGCAAAATTACTATGAATAGGCTGTCTGTAATACAAGCGATTGACTAGAGCGGAAGAATTGGACATTTGACCGGTGACGCAATGAAATTTCCTGCAGGAGATCCTTAACTTGAATAGATGGCATTCTGAGAACTCTCTTGTCATTACGCTACTCTTCATCACAATAGAACTAACCACTGGAAAGCCTCTCATATACATTGCCACTGCTTGAGTTCTCCAGGAGGCGGTATTTGATCTATGCTTGGATCTTGAAAATTCTTCTTGAAATAAAGAGTCAGAATCCCTACATTGCTGATCCAAGCAAAGTGACTGCAATGTCACCACCTTACACCGTGAATTGGAAAGCTACACATATACATTGCCACCACGTGAGATCTCTAGGAGGCAATATTTGACTTATTCTTGGATCTTGAAAGTTCTACTTGAAATAAAGAGTTACAATTCCTACATTGGTGATCCAAGCAAAATGACCGCGATGTCGCCACTTTATACCGTGAATTGATCATATTATGTTAATAGCTTGAACAATTCTATGATAATGTTTGGGAAGGTTTCTAACAACCATGCAAATCAAAAGAATAAAGAAAAGAAAATGATATGATCTATATTTTTGAAGTGTTCTCAATTGGAATTTATATGAAATATGAGGTCTTACAATTGTTGGAAAATTCTGGCCTTTCGCCCAATATCTTTTTTTCTTTTGAAAATAAGACATGAAGTATGGAGGAAAACTATACATAGCAAGGGAAAAATCTCTAATTTTGAAATTCAAAACTCAGTCCTATTTTTCAACAATATTACTTTGAAAGTGATAATCGGAAAATGCCAGTGTGAATGTTGTAAAAACTATGGTTTGCAAAGGGAACTTATAGGAAACTACACAATAAACACTCAAATTAGAAGCTCAAGTCCAAATGTCTTGGTCGAGCCTACCACGGGCTTGGGTTGGGATCTGATAAAGCTAGGATCCACGGGTTTGGTTTGGGATCTGATAAAACGAATAATTGATGTTTCGGAAGAATGGTGGGCTGAGAGATTGGAGGTGAGAATTAATGAAACGTCTACTTCTTTTATCAAAATTTTTTTTAACATATCAATCTCCCATCACTTTGTAGGTAGTGTCAAATGCGAAAAAATTTAAATTCAGTGATATTGACCTTGAGCCGGAAGAGAAGTTTGATCGTATGTTTGGTGGAGTGGTGACAACGAACGATCATGCATTGGGCCCCTAGCGAGTGAGGGTTTGCTGGCATAGCTGAGAACCTGAATGTCGAGCAAACAACTAACTCCAATGAAGGCTCTAGCCCGAACCTCAATGAAGTTAAATCCACTAGTCGATCAAAGAGACCTAAGGTTGAGAAAAAAAAAAAATGGTGTGATTGTCATTAGAAGTCAAATCTTACACTTATTGACATCATGCGCCGATGACCTAGCATATCATAGACAACTTGTATTTAGCAAGTAATGTGAACTCTTAAAGCAGCTCCAGAAATTTATGATATATCATTGTACTTATTCTCTATAAAGTTACTTGAAGAAGACCCTGCCCGACAAGAGTTCTTTATGACGATGACTCTTGACCGCAGGTTTAATTATTTACGTTAGTTTTACAACTGAAACACATGAATACTATTTTATTTGTTGAACATTTTATCTTTGTTTTTTCATTGTGACAATATTTATGTCACTTGTGATATGCTCCGGTTTTATTTCTTAGAAGCTTATTAATTGCTTTTCGAAGTTTCTTTATTTTTCTTTTTAATAAATCATGTTATGATTCTAGCTAATTCGATGATATTTATATGTGTTAGCTACATAGACAATGAATAACATGAATAGCGAAAGACGCAAAAGAAGAATTGAAGCTGCGATTTACCTGATGCATCCGGATGCATGAGTACTAAAACCCATATATTGCTCATTTTTTATATATGACATCAACATACCATGGCGACAGTGGGTTGGAGTGTTGCTTGTAGGGCACCTAACAAAATTTAACATTATGTTTCGTATGACATAGCTCGTATTCATCGATCTTTTTGAATAACTACACCGGTAGATGATAGAGTTGCGAGAGTGAATTACGGTGCGTGTTTGAAGAGTGAGAACTTAGATTTTAATTTATACCCACCTTTATTTTAATTTTGCATTACTATATTTTTTTTTAAGTAAAATAATATTCCAACTCATCATTCCATATATTAATACCGTTTTATTCTTAATTAAAAGTAAAAATGCGAAATTGAAGGTGCGTGTCTGAAGAGTGAAAACTTGAAATTTTCCATGTTCAGCCAAATAATTCCTGAAATCATTCGGAATTGTGAAATTTAATCGCTTCTGGACTTAAAACGGAAAAACTGGTTAAGATCTCTACCTTTTTCGGCAGGAAAATGCATCGAGGGAGAAATCTCTAGTTTGCAAGTTTTACAGATTTTCATTAAAAATTTACCATTAATATCAGCTTTTCTTATAAAGTGCTTTTGGCTCTTTCGATTAACTACTTACCAAAGACTACGTACATTTATATGCTTCTTTGATATGCATGCTGTTGAAAGTTTCCGACAATGGAAAAGCATGCACTTTATCTTGGTCTTTCAATGCAACAAGTATTTGTTAACCTTAGGATTCTTTGGTGTTTACCAATGGTGATTTTTCAGTATGAGTTTATGTGAAAATCTCAGCTCACTTCCATAGTTTTCTCTTCTCAGTTACATTCTAAATGCAAAGTCTAATTCACGAAATGAATATGGGTTTAAGAAATCCTGACTTTTATAAAAACTTTGCAGGTTTGGAGGCTGATAACAAACTT